TACCGTAAACACTGTCATAGCATCAAGGTTCTGATTTCAAACATGCTTGTGGCATCTGTTGATGTTGTAGTCAGTCAAAAATAATACAAGTTTATCTAAATTAACTGTTGATCCTAACTGTCTGAAGTATTGGGTGTGAGTGTTAAATGCCAAATTTTTAACTTGTACAATTTGTAGTCACATGAAAAATGCTTTTCCTCATTTTGCCTACTTATGGTTATAAGTCTAAAATGAAACTGGAAAGCCTTTTTTTCACGAGAACGGAGAGCTGAAAACTCCAAACATTTTACTCATTTACTTTGAATTATACATAACAATTAACACTATATACGATTAACTGATGAAGAAAATTTTCTTGAAGATTTAACATAGTACCTGCCAGCATGAATATAATTTTTAGTGAAGTTTCCACTCTAGTGTTTATGTAAGTATATAAAAAAATAATTGTAAAAAAATAAGTACTATGATCGTAAAACAGATTTAACCTATGGCATATTTACAACGAACATGCACCCAGAAAAATGTTATCAGCTATTAACAGGTTAAAATTTTACAATTTAAATGTATGTCATTGTAGAGGATATTGTAGAGGCTTACAAATAGCCACATATCTGTCATAGGCCATGGCTAAAAGAAAGAACTCAGAACAACCTAGAGAATAAATTATGAAAAACTGAAAGAGACATGCTGAATATGATATGATTTGTTTTTCAGATAAGAAGTCAATCAGGAGTTTTGGGTAAATAGTTGTGGCGTAAATAGCAACGTTCAGTAGCAATGCTGCAATAAAAGTGTACATAGGTTCATGGAGATTTTTATGGATCAAATTGAGGTATATAATAATAGAGTTACTGCAAGTTATTAGAATATATAATGTGAACATAATAAAAAAATAAAAATATCTGTATTTGTTAATTTCCACATGTCCATCAAAAGTTATATAGGTAACGTTTAATTCTTCATCCATTGATGTTTTAAAAAACTACAAAATGTTTCATTAAACAAATTGCGCAAGGTGAATAAATGGAAAATATTGAAAAATGCACCATCATTCAAACAGTGAGCAGTTACAGTCTGTGGAAGGTTTTTATCAGAAAAATTAAGCCTCCAAGGAGCTGAACACTGGAGGTTCATCTCACCCTTTTCATTCTCTTTTGCTTAGCACTGCAGGACTTCAACACAAAATCTTTTTAGCTGAGATATGAAATCTTACACAATGGACTAGATTGAACTAGTTTAACTTGAGAAATGTGGAATTTAGGATGGATGCAAAGAGTGGCAGGTAACTTAAGTGCTGAAGCGCTAATCACAGAGTTGATTTCATAAGATCTGATGTAGGAGCAAGCTTGCAAGCCAAGGACTTTACAGGAATTTCTTTATCTGACCGGGGTGTAGACTGGAACGAGGGAGCGATGAAGGTCTGCATATTTCTTATTCTGTTCAGTGCCCTTGAGCAAGGCCTCATCGCCAATCACGATTGATGGGTGATATTACAGAAGCCTCAAACAGAGATAGACCTGAGCTTATCTCAGGCTTATCTCTGCTCTGGCTTCTCCAGTCTACATGCCAAGATGCCACTATGGGCAGAACTTTGTGCCATCAGAAACTGAATTTAAATAAATTAAATTCAAATTGTAGTTTAGTGTCAGGTGCTCCTTAAGCTTGGTAAAGGCTACTGGTGCTTCTGGGGACCAGACAAAGGGGACTCTACTGGAAGTGAGTGGTGTAAAGGGTGCAGTTACCTGGCTATAGTTGTAAATGAACCTATGGTAGAAACTAAGGAAGCCAAGGATGTACTGCAACAGTTGTCGACTAAGCTGGGAGTAGGCCACTGGGTCATAGCCCGCACATTCGCTGGATCAGTCTTCACTTGCTGTCTTTGCCAGTCCAAAAAAGTCACGGAGGAAGAATGTAATTCACATTTTTCAGCCTTTAAACCCAACCTGTTCTCCAGAAGCTATTGCAGGACGCTGCAGACATGGATGACATGCTATTCAGGGAACTTGAAAAAAATATGTCATCCAGGTAAGCAAAATATTGATAAAAAAAATATCAATTTTAAGTCTCTTAATACATCATTAATTAGAGCCTTCAAGACATTCGGAGCATTAGGGTGTCACTAATACCTGAAGTGACCTAGGGGTAGTGTTACTTTGAAAAAATAACTAGTTATAGTAACTAGTTACTTCTTGAATAAAGTAATTGAGTTAGTAACTGCATTATCTTGGGACTGTGGGAGGAAGCCGGAGTACACGGAGGGAACCCACGCAAACACGGGGA